GAGTGAATTGAACTGTCGTTGAGAACGAAAATTTCAAGGGTTCTCAACGGCACTTGAAACAACAGAAACGTGACTTCAACGGTGTCGTTTTTCATGTCAAATAATAATACTAAATAAACAATAAAGGCTGGTAATTTTTCAAAGTTATAGTAGCAATAATAAATAAAAGGACAGAGCTTTTGAATCCGATTATCATGTCAAACAGTAGACTAAATAGACAATAATGTTTGATACATCTATAGAAGATATAGTAGCAGAAATAGACAAAAGGACAAAAGGACAAAGACATTCGAAAGTAATGGTATATTATATTTCAAAATACCAACCAAGAGCAATCGAGTGTACAGTACAAAATTGCTGTTTTAGTGATTTTCACTTGACAGCAGTGCAGTGTAAATCGTCTGGAGCACCCACAAAGGATTGGTTGAAAGACGAAGGGCTCTGACCGACTGACGAGACTGCCAAGGTTGAAACACCTGTATCGGGCTGTACAAAAGCCCATTTAACGACCACACGACAAGTTGGCTCAGATAGCAATTATGAGATATATTGAAATTTGAGCGTGGTCTCGAAGAAAACGCTTGAAAATAACGGTATGAAAGGATAAGGCTTCCGATTCTGATTATCCCTCAACGACACGCCATGCATTCCATTCCATTCGTATCGCCGTAGATGTGATTTGATGCAATTTGATTGTACTTGGAACCTATCGTTGTATATGTTCAATGTTCCTGTCTCTGACAGAGTCGGTATCAATTAACAGATCTGCGTCAAATGACGGCATTGTTTAAGCATGAGCCCGGGTTTGAACCAATTACCAAATGTGCGCTTCAGGTAATGTTCAGTCAGTGTGAAACACATACTTATAATAACAATACGATAACTACTGCATTAACCAAATCAAACAATCCAAGACAATTGAGAAGGACGCACTGGGGCAAAGGGCAGTGTTGATATAACTGAATGAATCCTCTTTAATACACAAAAGCGATATCAGAAAGAGAGAACGAGATGACTTTCATATCAAATTCAATGGATTCAATGAGAACAGCTAGATGCACAAAACGCCAACGCAAATGTGACGCCGTTAACGTTAATGCCAGTTACCACAACCGCCGCCGGTTACATTTACATACATCAAGCCGCATCTGAATCAACAGTGAAAGAGTAGATGACGTCAATCAGTTCCTTATGTTTTCGTTCATCTACCCAACACAATGAGGAAGGAAGCGCTAAAGGGAATGAAGAAAGAAAACGTCATGAAGTAGGAGAAAAACAGGGAGTACTGTTCAGCTTGAGGAAGACGTTCCTAAGAAATGAGTCATTGGAGAGCACTTGACGCAGCTAATCGTTATTGACTGCAACTGACCACTTAGTCATGGTTTTCAATAACAACTAGGCGCCTTGACATAAAATATTCGTCTGTAAAATGTAATCAGAGAATGAGCGAGTCGTGTTGACATCACTTTCGCTCGAATATCTCGAGTCCTATTTCCATATAAAAGTATTATTCCAGTACAGCAGCAAATTCTTCCTAAGGGAGGGTTTGAAATCTGTAGATTGAAAAGTCATCTATTTGTATTAGTCCAGCAACACAGCAAGAATAGATAGGCTCACAAAAAGATGTTGTTGTTGTTCATTGGGTTCGGCAATTGGCTAGTGAGGCCCTTGGGTCAGTTCCGCTTCACACTCGTGACGATTTACAATCTCACAGATTTTTGATCGAGTCATATGAACGGGCTACACAGTAGTAGGCAACACAGTTGATGACCATAATACTGTAGACCACTTCAACTGACTCATACTCTCGTCTAAATTCGATTCCCCTGCATTGCCGTCATCGACGACGCTGTTGCTGATGATGACGTTGATTTCGTTTTTGTTTGCTTCGAACAAGAGCCGATTTCCGCTCACGTTCAATGAACGATTTACCGCCAGTTTCATAATGACAACAAACCAAAATCATCCAGTCGATAGCAAAGCCGGTTTTGTTCTGTATATTTCAGAGGGATAATGTGCATAGATAGGCAAAAAAACTTTCCAACCGAATAAATCCTATCAAAGCGGAAATGTGTTTCTCTCGAACATCAAAGAACAAATATGGCACATTTCATGAACAATCACATGAAAGCTATAAAGCAAAGAATAAATTGAAGAGACCTCATCGATCGATATCGATCGCCGACTGAGTGTTCGAAAAGAGCTAGAAGCATTAATCACTCATAGTGTGCCAGCTAAGTATTACGTTGATCATTGCGTAAACAACTCGTAATGATATTAATTAATAGTTGTCCGAAAATTAACGAATCACCCTGCAATTCTTCATCAGTTCATCTCCACTTGTTGATTGGAGGTACCCCGAACTGTCACATTGCGAAGTAAAGTGGAAGATTGATCTTTCATCAGGATCACCCCGATGAGAATATTCAGCTGAGAATAAGTCTATGCTCAGACATGGCCCAAAGGACTACTCGTGGTTTCCTTCTCGCCATTGGCGATGAAAATAACGAACACCATTCATAAAATAGCCAAGGTAGTTTTGTTCCTCATTTTTCCGAGCTGGGGCAGCTCAAAAAATTAGCTCCTGTGCGGAGAACTTTTATGATTGCAATTTACTTGCGATCACACGACTTATGCTGAACTCCGCTTCCGAAACGTTAGCTTTTTTCATTAGCAGAAAGTAAAATGAAAGTCATTTCACGAAGCAAACTTAATGGGAGAATAGGCAGTCCTCGAGCTATCGCATGATACAAAAACTTGAATGAAAAAGGAAAAAAACGAAGCTATACAACAGCTGGATGAATCAATGTGATTTTACCGTTGTAGTATAGATGATTTTTCTTACATTCTTGACTGAAGTACTTTTTATAGAAGCCTTTTCTGCTGTATTTCATCACTTAATCACGATATTATCCCTCGGTACCCCACATTACCAAACAAATTTCCATAATTTTATTGCAAGGCGTGATAATAAAGAGTTCCGCCGCTCTGCTCCGCGTCGCGCCGTCGCACACGCGGCGTGTGATCTGAGCTGATAATAGCTCAGATAGTTGTCAATGCGTTGAAAGACCTTGACTGTATTCAGATCATAGCTTAAAAGTTTATCATACTTGCTGCTGTAACTGCTGGTATTGTGAAATCTGCAGAGTCACTGGCAAAAGTATCGTAGTAGCTCAACATAGTCGCAGTTCTAACAGAAATGATGAGCCAACTTGGTCCTACTTCACAGAAAAAAATCACATTTTGCTATTTTTATTGCTTGTGTTTACAGTTTCAAGAAGTTTAATCGTTGCTTAACGAACTGTTGTGCGATTCATTTTCTAAAACTTCGTCTAATGACGTGTGGCGCAGTAGCTAGTGATACTGCGCTATAAGCACATGGTTGTTAGTTCGATTCTGGACTTAGATTAGCCTTAGCTAGACTCCATTTCGCGGGCTCACCAAACCTTCTCTCCCTCCGGCGTTGGCCAACACCAGACTTGTCTAATAGAATAGAAGGCACTGATCTGATACATAATTCGGTCATCTTCATTCATTCTATAAGCCAGAGACAAACTCAGACAGTTTGCAATGCTATCAGTGAGGTAGAATGCATTGTACGTTTATAGGAGTTATATAAATCTTAAGAACTTTACCCTTCTAGTCTTTGACACTTAATCTGTAGTGATTTTCGGCTAGCTAAAGTGATATCAATACATAATACTGAGGAACGCCAAAATGGTATTGAAGCAGGAGTCATAAATTATATTTCTGATACATGTTTTCAAACCTTTGGTGAACCACGTGCGCTAGAAGAGGTCATGGTAATTGACGCGGCTTTCTGGAGGCAATAGACAAAGTTGTCCTTCTAAAAACTGTTTTAGAAGTTGTAGAGCTCAATGTGCATTAGTCAGAATTTAATCGCTATTTGGAAAATACAAGGATAATGAAGAAGCTCGATGGATCGAATTTTTCGACTTGCAACGAAGACAAAAGAAACTGTCGTTAAAATCGTCGTTATGAGGTTTAACGCTTCGTTTCTCCAACGCTACAAAATTATCCATTTCTCACATTGCGACGTACAATAGGAAGTGGATTTCAGACGGCAATGTTTGAAGTCTGACGCACTGAGTGATCTGCGATGACGATCCTTTCAAATTCGATATCTAATCACAGAAGGCTACGATGGAATGACGTATGCAATCATTCACTACAACTTTTGATTTCTTGCTTGATCAGTGATGAAGATAAGTACCGTCACAAAATTGGCTTATAGTAAAACAGCTAGAATCCCTGCGAAGAATATTAATAAATAGATTTTGCATTGTTGCAAAGGATGAACGATCAACGATGTGCAACTGTGTCTCATTCAGAGCACTCGACTGACAACTCCCCAACGGCCTAGCAGTCCCACAAACAACTTAAATTGATCTCAAAGGTTATCAACAACACAGCTGGTTGCCTTCAAGGAATTTGCCGCTTGCACTTACAAAATTCTGAGCTGCAAACATAAGTAGACTGTTTCCTCCTTAGCAAAAATGTACAGATTCTATTGAAACGTAGTCAAAAAAGAAAAAAGGTTGAGAGGATTTACAATATTGGATTTTTCAAAAATCGAGTAGTGAAAAATATTCGGGCAAACCACCTAACGTTTCAGCGAGTTCTTCTTCAATGCCGAGTATATCCGAATTTATTGTTTCCACAGCTGTTCGTCCTAAAGTTTTGAAGCGGAGCTATTCTCAATTGTAGAAATTCATATGACAATGCCCTTCTATACGAGGCAAAAGCCTAGCTGTATTATGTTTATTTAAGAGCTTTTAGATGTGGTATAATGTTTCAGTAAACCCACTGAAGTAGAGTGATGTTCAAAACTTTTGCGTCAGTTGGGACTCGAACTCACATTTCACCTTAACCGGGAGCTAGTGCTCGTACTGTTGCACTACCGACGACCGTTTTTAACACTACGCTTTCTAGGCTACAAACACACTACAATGCACTAGCGTAGAGTGGCGTGAAAACAGGCGCCGGTGGTACAACGGTTCGAGCATGCGTCCCCGGCTAGGATGGGATGCGGGTTCGAGTTCCATCTGATGCAAAAGTTCTGCAAATCACTCTACATAACTGGGTATGTTGAAAAGCTCAATCAATTACGCCTTAACATTGAATTTATTTCCATCAAGAAAACAAGATCTCCAGCAATAGATGTCGTATCAACTGGTGTACAATGAAATGGTATTTTGGAAAAGTTGTTCTACTTCTGTGATTTCAACTAGAAGGAACAAAGAGCACTCCAAATACGAAGAAGACTGCTGTAGACAGTGGATCTGAATCAATACATCCGGAAGAAGGCGAAGAAGCCGAGATATCAACAAAAAGAAGATTTTCTAGCAGACTCGTTTTTAACCTATCAACTGAAGGAAATGCATCGACTTTTCTCAGCTAGTGGTTGTATAAAGTCTGTTTTCAAAAACAATACGGTCACGACTGACGTGAGTGTTGCGCAAGAAAAAGCAAATTGATAGATTACATTTGAAAGGTATCTGAATGGGTGCTTGTCTTTATGAAAAACTGTGGTTTTAAACACATTTTAGTGTAATCGCTTGTACACCGTTTTGAAAATATTTATTCTTCGTACAAAACTCGTATCAGTGCTTGTTCAAAGTTCGGTACCAGTGAAATGACATGACAAAGAAATGATGAGTTAAATTACAAAAGAAGGAATTAGAAGCAAACGCGAAAGACGATCCCACCAAATCATTTTACTTTGTTAAGCAGGTAGGTCGGCTATATCTCTTGAAGTTTTTTTATTTCGGGTGTTTTATTAGGACCACGCTCAAATTTCGAGATATCTCACAATTATTATTCAAGCCAACATGTCACATGGTCTCTGATTGAGCTCTTCTACAGCCCCTTATACGTATTTCGGCCATGAAAAATGCCGATCTTGCGATTTATCACTTGAGGGCGATTGTGTACATCGTTTGTTGTTGCCTACCTCTTCAAAGGGGGAAAGGGGCTCCCGAGAGGCTTGGCTAAAGACGAAGGGCCTGCCGAACTGACGAGTTGCAGGGCCGGAACACGTGTATCAAGCTGTTCAAGAGTCCATTAACAGACAACAGGACATGTTGGCTCAATTAATGATTTGAGATATATTGTAGCTCTTGTTATTCCTCGGTTGAACTTCAATGCACGAAAGATTTCATAAACTTAACTATGTATAATTGAAATTTACGTGCATTTTTCTTTAGCTTCCTGATGATATCAAGGTCTATAGCAACTCTTTACAGATGGAACAGTGTCGACGGTCGATTTAGAAAAGTGTAGAAAGACTGAAAAGAGATCATCCGGAAGGATATGAGACACTCTATGACCGGAGGATATTACTGTATTGAAGACATCAAGGAGTATTGTCAGTGGAGAATATTCATAGCGTTCAGACGTTCACGCTCGCATCAATAAATTTTAATGAATTTCCACATTTTCTGCTCATAAAGGATAAAACAAAAACGGCTATAGGAATACCAGTAGATGAGGTACGGATAGAATTGGATCGGATTATTGACGAATGAGGCCACCACCACCACCACCATTACCACCAGCGAAACGAATCGATCGTCTATTTAATGGGGACAGTTGAACGTGAAGAGAAAACGACGGCACTAAATCGTGATAGAATCGCTATCGATGTTCGAAATGGTCGGAGACACTTTGAATTTTATGTCGGATACACTTAGAAGTGGTTGACGATCGCGGATTCAAGACTAGCGCCGTCAGTGATCAGTTTTCATCGCAGTTTATTGGACTTTTCGTCTTGTCTAAGCAATTCATGCAATTAAGAAAAAACCATGAATTTAAAATTGGTGGACCGCTTGGTTAATACTCATAAAGTCGGCTATTTAGCTCTTAAATGGTAATCTATTTTGGAAATTGTAATTGAATTTCTTGAAATTTCTGGCACCTTTGTGTGTAAGTAGTTCATTTATGATGGAAAGCGTGCATGGAGCGGTTAGAGATGGAACAATTTCTTCTCAACATGTTCATGTATTCGACTCCATTGGTGGATTCAATTGGAAGTATATTTGGTCTTTACACTCAACAGTGGGAGCTCATCAATCTGTCAAATAGTGTTGCAAATCATAAGTTATTGTTTCAGGAAAAAAAAAAACTCAATCCCAGTTGACACAAACGTTTTTGCACACCACTCTACATTATTGGGTGTATTGTAACATCATACCACCTCAAGTGGTGGTCAAATAAAATGATTTCTGATTGATTATTAAAAAGTCATTGATCTGCAAGCGAGTGATTGAATGAAGTTGACAAATAAGGGTACTTCCAAATTAGGCGTCCTTCCACAATGAGCACATCTACTCATGAATTTGATATTATTGAAAACCGATTTTTTCACGAAGTTTGACATCTTCAACATCACTTATTTTGGTGCTTTGGGTAGAGATGACGTGCAGTGCATACAAAGTCGGTCGTAAGCCCGTTTTTTTTTCTCTCCGAGCAAACAAAGGCTTTCGTCACTCCAGAGTCAGTAAACTTCTACAATAATTCTCCGGGATAATGGAAAGCACTGGTACGATATATTAGCAGGCGATCAAAGGTCTTCTGTATTAAATATGCATTGAATTCTCTTTGATTTTATGAAGGAAACAAACTCATGACGCATCCTTATCGAAGCGATCAATTCCGAATGTTCTACCGTTTATTATTCAAAACTTATTTCCATGTTACGGCTTCTTGAAAGTTGGACTCGAAATTTATTCAATGATCTTCGGTGCAGAAAAGTGTAACATGTGAAAAACATGAATTCATTTGAAATTAATTACTGAACTGGTTCCACGGTGTTTTTTATGCCTCAAAAATAGAAACACGATCAAATTGGTATATGAAGTTTTGAAATGAGGTGGACAGCTACTGTTTCACAACCAGTTCTAATAACAACAATGGAGGACAGGAGCGGGATTTGAATTCAGCAAGAATAATTTTTTTGCAGTTGATGAAGGAAAGCAGAATACAGCAGTAAAATAGTAGTGAAAACGCTAAAGTGGATGAAACAGAAATTTTACTTTATTTGTACACTACCCGTCATCAAAATACACTTTAAGGATTTCGGCACTTATTGTATTTGGTTCATTTCCTCACGTTCATCCTCAGCAAAGTCCTTCAAACACTCGATATAATCCTTCAGGTGCTGTTCGAAAATTTCGTCTTTTCTCGCGAATGCCGTGGAATACTGATTCAAAGGAATCTCTTGAAATCTTGAAGATAGCCGAGCAAAGGAGCTCGCGTGATTGCAGAGGAGCATTGGGGAGAAGGGATGAAACCAGCGCCTTGCTTATCACCTTGCTTCCAATGCCTACTCTATGTTACTCACATAAAATTTTCGAAAAGCAACAAAAAGTTCTTCTGTAAATATTGTTAGTAAGACTAGCATTTAATTTATCACTTTATTTGACTCGTCATCACAGTACCTTTTTCACTGTGCGGATCCTAGTACGTCTAGTATTCAATTCGTTTTTCTTCTTCTTGACGGCGTAGAATACTAGTTGAGCGAGTGTTGTTGCAAACTTGAGGGTAGCCTTGCTGTGGCGTGTTCCATAGGACGTTGTTGTTGACTGCCGGAGAGAAGTGGGGGTGGAGATCGGATCCACGCGCGCCGTGACCAACACCACAAACACTCGGCCACGGCGCCCCAGACTAGATTAGCATTTATCGAGATTAATTGATTTATTTAATAATCCAACAGCATTACTAAGCTTTTTCGAACAGCACCTGAAGGAATATATCGAGTGTTTAAAGGACTTTGCTGAGGATGAACGTGAGGAATTGAACCAAATACAATAAGTGCCGAAATCCTTAAAGTGTATTTTGATGACGGGTAGTGTACAAATAAAGTAAAATTTCTGTTTCATCCACTTTAGCGTTTTCACTACTATTTTACTGCTGTATTCTGCTTTCCTTCATCAACTGCAAAAAAATTATTCTTGCTGAATTCAAATCCCTCTCCTGTCCTCCATTGTTGTTATTAGAACTGGTTGTGAAACAGTAGCTGTCCACCTCATTTCAAAACTTCATATACCAATTTGATCGTGTTTCTATTTTTGAGGCATAAAAAACACCGTGGAACCAGTTCAGTAATTAATTTCAAATGAATTCATGTTTTTCACATGTTACACTTTTCTGCACCGAAGATCATTGAATAAATTTCGAGTCCAACTTTCAAGAAGCCGTAACATGGAAATAAGTTTTGAATAATAAACGGTAGAACATCCGGAATTGATCGCTTCGATAAGGATGCGTCATGAGTTTGTTTCCTTCATAAAATCAAAGAGAATTCAATGCATATTTGATAAAGAAGACCTTTGATCGCCTACTAATATATCATACCAGTGCTTTCCATTCTCCCGGAGAATTATTGTAGCAGTTTACTGACTCTGGAGGGACGAAAGCCTTTGTTTGCTCGGAGAGAAAAAAAACGGGCTTACGACCGACTTTGTATGCACTGCACGTCATCTCTACCCAAAGCACCAATATAAGTGATGTTGAAGATGTCAAACTTCGTGAAAAAATCGGTTTGTAATCAATATTAAATTCATGAGTAGGTGTGCTCATTGTGAAAGAACGCCTAATTTGGAAGTACCCTTATTTGTCAACTTCATCCAACCAGTCGCCTGCAGATCAATGTTTTTTCAATAATCGATCAGAAATCATTTTATTTGACCACCACTTAAGGTGGTATGATGTTACAATATACCCAATAATGTAAAGTGGTGTGCAAAAACGTTTGTGTCAGCTGGGAATGAGTTTTTTACTTTTTCCTGAAACAATAACTTATGATTTGCAACACTATTTGACAGATTGATGAGCTCCCACTGTTGAGTGTAAAGACCAAATATACTTCCAATCAAATCCACCAATGGAGTCGAGTACATGAACATGTTGAGAAGAAATTGTTCCATCTCTAACCGCTCCATGCACGCTTTCCATCACAAATGAGCTTGCTTTGGAGTAAAGATTACTACTGCACAGAAAGGTGCCAGATATTTCAAAAAAATGCGATTACAATTTTCAAAGTAGATTGTCATT